GGCTCCAGGTAGGCTGCCATCCTCAGTATCTGGCCAACACTGGGTTGGTACACAACCTATGGAGGTGAGAAGTGGAGGCTGGGAGCACCAAAAATGACGCCCAGTTGGGCCACCGGCGTTCACCTGGCACACTTCCCTGGAGTTTCAGGCCGGTTCTTCCTGGCTGGCTCTGGGCAGAACCCATGCCACTCTTAGGAGCCTCTCCTCACCTTCTGTACTGTGGTCCTCACCGAGAGACAGTCCCTAGGGTCGCCATCAAAAGGACTTTTGCACTTTGTCCCTCCCATCACTGCTCCTTTTCTCCAGTCCAAAAAAGGACAAATCCTGACATGATAAAGATGCTTTGTTTGAAAGCGCCACACCAAGGTTAAGGTCAGAAGGACAATTCAGAGATTGGGCTAAAAGGGTTTTGTTTTTTACAGGGAGGAGTGGACCAGGAAGAACAGGGGGAGGAACGGGCAGCGTGGTGAAGGAGGCTGTTGTTGCGGGGCATCCTCTTGGGCTCTTACTCTCATTAATAATAGAATTTAGAAATGGACTTGGGAGGAGGTTGTGGACAATTTCGTAAGTGATCAAATAGCAGGCAAGCCATAGCTCTCAGCAATTGTCAGCGGGTGTGTGTGTGTGTGTGTGTGTGTGTGTGTGTGTGTGTGATAGAAAGCAGGCAGGTTTAGTACTGCTGGGGGTCGAGAAGCAGCTATAAGGCAGAAAGGGGAGGGAGGCTTTGAGAAACAGGGCAAAGAAGCCCCCAGTATTTGGGAAAGCTTGCCCAGGCTTCAGTCAGTATCTGAAAGAAAAAGAAAAAAAATCAAAAGGGTAAGTAGTAGACTTTCAGGCTGAGAGCTAGCTGTGGGAGCTCGAAAGTGGTTGCATGGAGGCAGGGCTTCCAGGAAGGATTTTATCTCATAAGGGGATAATTATTCCTCCCTCTTTTTGACATGCTTTTCTTTTTTCTTTTTATTGATTTTATTGAGCTCTACATTTTTCTCTGCTCCCCTCCCGCTTTTCCCCTCCCCTTCAACTCTTTCCCAAATCCCCCATGCTCCCAATTTACTCAGGAGATCTTGTCTTTTTCTACTTCCCATGTAGATTAGAACCATGTATGTCTCTCTTAGGGTCCTCGTGGTTGACATTGTTTTCAATGGATCATTTCCCAAGGGTTGGTCTCTTAGCCAGGTGATTGACAAGCCCAGATGGATTAATTCTTATGGCAGAAGACTCTATATGTAATCTTCTAATCTTTGGAACAGATCAAAAATGTCAAGTCTCCATCCAGGTCCAGAGATAGAGTCCATTCTTTTTACAGGGAGGAAATAACTTTTCTTTAATGGGCCTCTATGGAGCCCTGATATCCTTAATGGCCCCTAAGACTATTGTAACATTCCCACCTCAAGAATTAGGACTCTAAAACCATTCAGGAGATGGACTAAAACTGGGCAATGGGGAATAGATATAACTCACTCCCATTGTGAAAACTTAGAGGACCAGTGCCAAAGCTGTCCAGAAAGTTCTAGTGTCTGAACTTGAGTTTGGGTCACACTTTGTATATAGCCTCTAAGCAGGCTAGCTCACTTATGAGAAGCCAGTAAGACTCTGAGTCCTCCTCTGACTGGCCTCCAGCCGGGACAAAACCAAGGGCCATACAAGAGTTAGAATTGCTCATGTTCTGAATCCTTGCCCCTGAACCTTCCAAACCAGTTCCTACCTCCTGTTCTCATCAGCACGACCTGTTGGTGCCCGAAGATGCTGTATTTTAGGGTACACTTTTATCGGGAGGATGGTGTGCTTCTCCTGTTGAAGGTAGACCAAATTTCAGAGACCTGTTGGGGAGGTGATAATATTAAATAAAGTCTGGCTAACAAGAATTGTGTTCTGGATGATGATAAGAGACAAACAGCCCAAAAAATAATTTATTTTTATCTTCTTTCTCTTTCTCTCTCTCTTTCTTTCTTTTTTTCCTTTTTCTATGATCTTGGTATGTAGTTCAGGCTAAACTTGCATTCATAATCCTCCTGCCTCAGACTCTGGACTACAGGGATTACAGGTGTGAGGGCCCCATGTCTTGCCTAGGTTGGTAAATTGTTTAAGAGGCTAAAAACAGGAACTTAGTGGTCCTTTTGGCTTTGTCTGGATGACAAGAAGACAACCAGAATCTTATCCTTCGTAGTTAAGTCATTTCTTAAGCACAAAGGGACAGAGTATGGGATGTGGTTTCTAATCATTGCTATTCTCAATGTCACAAGGCACACTGAGTTTCACAGTTCCCTCTCTCACAGCAGCAGATCCTGCTATTTCCAGGAATAACTTTGAGGGAAAGGCCATGGGGCTGCCCCCTTTAACAGACCTCACTATACTATGTGAGGTGCTGACAGTGTGATGGGCAGCAATACTTTAATTTTTTTTTTCATTTTACATACCAACTCCTCCCCTTCTCCTCCTACTCCCTCATCCACTCCGCTGAGGGAGTAATTCCTCCCTTGGGGAGTCAACAAAGTCTGGCATACCAAGTTGAAGCAGGACCAAGCTCCTTTCCCCTGTATCTAGGGTGAGCAAGGTATCCCTCCCTCTATAGTGAATGGGCTCCCAAGTCTTGGTCCCACGGCCAGGCCCTCCCCTGCAATAGACCAAGTCACAGAACTGTCACCCACATTCAGAGGGCCTAGTTTGGTTCTATGCAGGTACCCCAACTGCCATTCCAGAGTCCGTGAGTTCCCACTAGCTTAGGTCAGCTGTGTCTGTGGTTTTCCCAATCATGGTCTTGACCCCTCCCTTGCTCATATGATCCTTCTTCTGTCTCTTCAACTGAACCTCAGGAACCCATTAGGTCATACTTTGAAAACCTGTACTCCACAAAATTGTAAAATGTAAAAGAAATGTGCAATTTTCTGGATAGGTACCACATACCAAAATTAAATCAAGACCAGATAAAAAATTGAAATAGACCTATAATTTTTAAGGAAATAGAAGTAATCATCAAAAGTCTCCCAACCAAACCAAACCAAACCTCAGGGCCAGATGGTTTCAGCACAGAATTCTACCAGAATATCAAAGAAAATCTAATACCAATACTCCTTAAATTGTTCGATACAATAGAAACAGAAGGAACATTGCCAAACTCTTTTTTACAAGGCTACAGATACCCTGATACCAAAACTACACAAAGATGCAACTAAAAAGAGAATCGCAGACCAATCTTCCTCATGAACATTGATGCAAAGAGACTCAACAAAATACTGACAAACCAAATCCAAGAACACATAAAAAAAAAAAAATCATCCACCGAGCAATCAGGGAACCCTGATTGCTCTTTGGGCTGACGAGGGAGGGGGACTTGATTGGGAGAGGGGGAGGGAAATGGGAGGCGGTGGCGGAGAAGAGACAGAAATCTTTAATAAATAAATTAATTAATTAAAAAAATCATCCACCATGATCAAATAGAGATGCAGGGATGACTCAATATATGAAAACCTGTCAATCTAATCCACCATATAAATAAATTGAAAGAAAAAACACATAATCATCTCATTAGATGCTGAAAAAGCCTTTGACAAAATCCAACACCCCTTCATGATAAGGGTCTGGGAGAGAGCAGGGTTACAAGGAACATACCCAAACATAACAAAGGTAATATACAGCAAGTCAACAGCCAACATCAAACTAAATGGAGAGAAAATAAAAGTGATTTCATTGAAATCAGGAATAAGACAAGGCTGTTCACTCTCACCATATCTATTCAACGTAGTACTTGAGGTTCTATATAGAGCAATAAGATAACAAAAGGAGATCAAGGGGATGCAAATTAGAAAGGAAGAAGTCAAAATTTCATTATTTGCAGATGATATGATAGTATACATAAGTGACCCTAATAATTCTCCCAGGGAACTCCTACAGCTGATAAACACCTTCAATAAGGAAGATTAACAAAAATAGTAGCCCTCCTATATATAAATGATAAATGGCTGAGAAAGAAATCAGAGAAACATCACCCTTTACATAGCCTCAAATAACATAGAATATCTTGGGGGTAACTCTAATCAAATAAGTGAAAGACTTGTATGACAAGAACTTTAAGCCTTTGAAGAAAGAAATTGAAGAAGGTATCAAAAAAAGGAAAGATCTCCCAAGCTCTTGGATAGGTAAGAAAAACATAGTAAAAATGTCAATCTTACCAAAAGCAATCTGCAGATTCAATGCAATCCCCACCAAAATCCCAACACAGTTTTTCACAGACCTCAAAAGAACAGTACTCAACTTCATATGAAAAAAACAAAAAACCCAGGATAGCCAAATCCTGTACAAATCCTGTACAATAAAGGAGCTTCTGGAGGTATCACCATCCCTGGCTTCAAGTTTTATTATAGAGCTATAGTAATAAAAACAACTTGGTATTGACATAAAAACAGATAGGTGGACCAATGGAATCAAATTGAAGACCCTGATATTAATCCATACACCTATGAACTCCTAATTTTTGACAAAGAAGCCAAAATTGTATAGTGGAAAAAAAAGAAAACATCTTCAACATGGTGCTGGCATAACTGGAAATCAACATGCAGAAGAATGCAAATAGATCCATATCTATCCCCACTCACAAAACTCAAATCCAAATGGAACAACATTATGTTTAAATTTAGGAAACTGCTGTGCAATTGCTCTAGCTTGCAAGCTTTTTATAAACTGTATCCTGTCAGCTAGCATGCTCCAGATGGATGACTTGTTGGAACATCTGGGCTAGTCTTAAAACCACCTAGTCTTGTAACAATGTTTAACTGCTTCTGTTGTTCTTACAAGCTAGCAGGGTCACAAGACCAACTGCTGGTTCTGCTTCTGTCTGAAATGCTTGCTCAAGATGACTGAGGCATCTGTCAGAAGCCATTACAAAAGTTAAGCTCTGTTTGCACGTAGGCAGGATATGTGCTAACTTGACCCCAAAACTGAACCTTGTGGTTTTTGCCTTTATAAACCCAGACTAACACTTACTGGGGACACACTTTGAGAAACCCAAGTCTCAGGTGTGACCCTGGCCAGTCCTATCCAGCTCTGGGTGTTCAGCTCGATTCACCCTTTTCTGTCCAGCCTTGAATGCTGGGGCTTCTGTTGTACTGAGAGCCAAGACTTTGCATAGGCCCAGCATTTGGAGGGAGTCAAGAGTCCTCAACGCCTAGATTTCAACTGAGAAGCCTTGGGACTGAGAGCTGAGTGATTCGGATAAAACCAGCATTTGGAGGTGACCCCGGACAGGTTCTCAACATCTGAATTGTGGAAAAGAGACATTTGAAGCCCTCCCAGAGGTAAACTTCTGTCTGTAGCATGCACCTGTCTGTGAGACTCATGGGAAAGCTGGTCGCAGCATTAATTCCCAAGCTTGAGGGACCATCAGGACATCATTGGCCCTTGGTGTTTGTTTCTGGAGGTAGGGGTAGGCTTCCCAGAAGCAGGGGTTGGCCACCAAGTTAGAGAACACTGTCTGTCTGTCTGTGTTGTGTTATGTGGGTTGCTTTTTGTGTCATTTTTCTTTCTTGAAGAAATTGAAAAGATGGAACAACAACAAAAAATCTTCCACCAAGAAAGGCCCCTTAGTTCTGATGAAGTCTCATTTTAAGGATTTCCAGAGAGGAGCCAAGGAATCTGGAGAACAGGTCTATATAGGAAAACTAACTGCCTCTTGTTTCTTTGGTTAGCCTTCATTTCAGGCGGACTGGTCATGTGAAGGTTCCTTCAAATTTTCTCTTATTTACAGAGTGCAACATGTGATCTTTAGTAAACGAGGACACCTGGCCAGCTCCCCTACATTCTGGCCCGGAAATTCCTGGTAGAGGAATCTCCATCCTGGATGAGAAAGTACCAGCCAAATCCTTCCCCCAACGCCGCCATTTTTGTTTCAGAAGAAATCAATAATACCAAGGGGCAGGGCAGATTTCAGCTTCAAGTCCTACCAGCCCCACCTGAAGAAGATGTGCCCCCACTCTACATGCCTGGGGTACTAGGAAGGGAGAGGAATCTGCGGCCAGAGGCACTCCTGAGTCCTGCTCACACTCGGAGTGGGTCCTCCTACCAACCCAGCTTCCCGTCATTCACTGGCTCTGACTTTCAATATCTTCTCTGCCTGCTTTTCCTGAGGTTGTGATGGTCTTCATTTGCTTCCGTCTCAGGGACACACCCTGTAGCCCCTAGGCTGCCCACTGCAAGGCATTTCATTTGCAGCATTCTCTGATACTCCCCCCGATTTCCACCTCTAGCTATCCTCCCTTCAGAGGGACCCCATCATGGGGAGTCACGCAGAACAAGGAAGGCAGGAGGGGCCATCAATCAGTCAGCTATGGGCTGTGTTCTCTCCACTAGTGATCTGTGTACCTGGAAGCTCCAAAATCTCTGTGCTAGAAGTGGTGTTTTACACACCCCAACCGACTTGGGTGGACGGTCAGTAGCTACTTCGAACCCTCTTCACTATAGAGACGAGGGAGTCTGAGGAGAAGCTCAGAAGCTGGGCTTGGGAAACGATGGGAGACTGATGGCTGATCTGGTGACAATTGAAGTTTTTCCTTCCCGAAAATTAGATCAGGATCCGAATCCCCACAAAGGTAGGGAGTCTCTTAACCTCTTCCATCAGACTTTGTTGGGCAGGCAGTCTCTGGGCCTAAAAGAATGCCCCACAATTTCGTGCCCCACCAATTTGTCTAAGGTAGATCAGATAACTCAGGGTTCAGATGATTTGCCATCGGCTTCTCTGGAACGCCTCTTAGAAGTTTATAGTCTGACCAGGAGGCCACAGAAAACCAGAGGGCTATCAATATAGCTTTTGTTTCTTTATCAGCATCAGACATTAGGAGAAAGATTCAGAAAAGAGAGGGATTTGAGGCAAAGGTACGTAGTTAGAGCTAGTTGAGATTGCCTCCCTGGGGTACAATAACAGGGACACCCTGGAGGACGGGTAGACCAAGAAATTAGCTAAAATTGTGGCGGCAGCTTATCAAGGAGCAGGAAAAGTCCTGCATCCAAGATTCATGAAAGAAGGACAGAATTCAAGGGACGTAGATCCTGGGAGAGGTCTTAGGGGAAGAAAACCCGACCATTGGGAAGGCAAATGTCCTGAAAGGAGTGAATATTTTTAGTGTAAAGAAACCAACTATTGGAGAAACGAATGTCTAAGCCAAAAGCAAAGCTCTGCTTGTAGGCTCCAACTAGATACAGACTGGCAGGGTCTAGCCTCAACCACCCCTCCCCTGGAGTCCAGAATTACCCTGAAAGTGTGTGCTGGGGCAGGGTGGGTATTCCAAACAATTTCCTCATGGATATGGAAATGGGATTTTCCCATTTCCTTGGTTTTACAGCAGGCGAGTGAACCACTAAGTAAGAAACGCTGTAATACAAGGAGCTACCAGCTCACAAATCTGTTCTTGGACCACCAGAGAACTATGGACCTGGGAAAGGGGGTTGTCACCCACTCTTTCCTAGCCATGCCTGAGTTTCTATACCCTCTTTTGGGGTACGACCTGCTCCACAAACTAAGGGCAAAAATACATTTTTGAAAGGATGAGATAATACCTAGGTTTGGACTGCTGTTGTTCATAGGGTTAGATAATGGACCTGCCTTTATGTCTAGGGTTACCGAGAGCATTTCTGCTATTCTGGGGTCAATTGGAAATTACATTGTGTGTACTACCTGCAAAGTTCAGGACAAGTAGAGAGGATAAATCAGATCTTGACTAAGCTAACTTTGGAGACTGGAGAAGTTGGGCGAGGTTCCTTCCCTTTGCACTTCTTAGGGCTCTGTGTACTCCTTACGTAAAAGGTTTAACTCCATTGAAATCCTCTTTGGGAGACCCCCCTCCCATCCTCCCTCAAATGGAACTAGCTCCTGAAATTACTAACCACCAACTGTTCAGTCTGTACAGGCTCTGCAATTGATTCAGGACAGTGTGACCACCTCGCTTTCCAAGTCCACCACCTCATCCACACCTCATCTTCTAGCCAGGAGACAAGGTGTGGATCAAGAGACCCTGAGCTGAGATACCTGGACGCCGCTGGAAGGGACCACACCTCATCATCCTGATCATCTCCACGGCTGTCACGGCAGATAACATCCAGTGTCCACACCTGGATACATCGCTCTCAGGTCAAGCGTGACACTGGGAACAACGACCCAGCTAAAGAAAAGTGGACTGTCATCAAGACCTGTGAAGATCCACAAAAGACAAGAGAGACATGGGTTTTAACTTAATGGTGTTGTTTTGTCTGGCTATATCTCCTTCTGTTCTTTCCTGGAACCCAAGTTGGAAGCGCCCACCTCCCCGGGTTCCTATACCAACCAAACCAACCCCTAGGGCATGGAAGTTCCATGTAATTGCTTTGGAAAACCGCAACAAGACCATAGCCTCTACCTTCTGTCCAGTCACAGGATGTGCAAGTACTATCAGCCTCACCTTTGATATAAGGGACACCTGCCAAGGGAAATGTATAAACGACTTCTACAATGCTATGACCTCTCCCATATATGTCTGCTTTGTATATGAGCAGACTCGCTCAGACTGTCAGGACCCAAATTACGGAGGATGTCCACACTGGGGCTGCAAATATCATAGTACCTGGCCCAGATGGGGCGGAGAAAACCCTTCCAGACTCAACTCAGTTGATTGGCATACGAAGGTCACCTACTCCATCCCTGACCCCTGGAATGACAGATGGAGGAGAGGGGTCGTGGGTTTTGTCTATAGACATAATGAGAAGGATACAGCTTATGATGGGAGAACTAAGATACTCATCTTTAGAGCTTTAGCCAAGTTCACGCCTTAAAATTTCATTATTTGAATGCCATAACCAAACCTAGCTACTGTACCTGCCCTGGCCCTGTAGCTGGGGCTCACCGACTGACATCACTTCTTGCCACAACCACCTTTCTCTCTCCTTCCACTAACCCAACCCCTCTGGCCTCCTTTAAATCCCTAGTGGCCATGTTAACACCATATACTTGCTCATGAATGTAACTTACCCAAATGTTATGTCTAATTGCTGGCTCTGTATCCCCCAAAACCCCACAACTATGTAGGACTCACTATCTATCAGAGCCCCATTTCACCCACTCCCTTTGCTAACTGTCCATGGTTGTCTTTCCACTTGACCATCGAATTTATTAACCTAGACCAAATTCAAGGTGAGCGGGACCGGTTTTACTCAAAGAGCTATAATATGTCCAAATCCCCCTTTGAGAATAAATGCAGATTCACCGTAAATATTTCTCAGCTCCTAGCAGCCACATTGCCAGTGTTCCTTCCTTCACCGCCTGGCAGAAACTGTTTAGCTGTTTTGGACTGATGGATTATACCCATGTTTGTCTATCTGGCATATGTAGCAAGCCCCCAAACTCTGTATCTTGGTATCCCTGTTCGTCCAGTGTATATTTAGGATGGTCCAGCAGGGAGAGAGCACTTATATTCACAGAGTCTTCCAGTCCCCGGGTGCAGGAAAAACAACTTGCAATTCCCCTCCTCATCCCTCTCAATAAAGCTTAGGCTCAGCTACAGTAGAAGCTGCATTTGGTGCCACAGGAACAGCGAAGGCTGGCATTGACCTAAAAAACATAGGATGTCAAATAACCTAAGATCTATCCTTATTAGAAAAATATCTATCGCCAAGCTAGAAAAACAGCTGAGGTGTTTCTACAGCATAGAGCAAGGAGGTTATTGTATGGCTGTAGGGGAGAAATGTTGTTCCTATACAAACCATTTGGGAATTATTAGAGATAAATTGGCTGTGCTCCAGAAAAACCTTGCTAAAAGGGAGAAGGCCCTAAACCAGGGAGACAAATGATTCCCGTTCTCATTCTTAGGTTTCTCCTTAGGAACCCTGCTAACAGCTGTTATAGGGTCCTCAGCTCCATGCTCCTGATGAAGCCAGTCAGCCCCTGCAACATCAGTGTCTGAGCCAGATACATAAACTCACACTTGGGTGCCACTATACTAATGGCTTTTAGGTCCCAGTATGAACAGGTGCCCACCACAGAGTCAAGGCTTTGACCTAGGACACACCTCATAGGGAGAAGTGATGATCTACATTGTGTGTAAAACTCAGAACCTGCCGGGCACCTGCTCCAGTCTGTAAACTTTGTAAACTGTGTCCTGCCAGCTAGCTGTCCAAGATGAATGACTTCTTGGAATATTTGGGCTAGTCTTAAAAACTGCCTTGCCTCGTTTTGTCAAAATGTTTAACTGCCTCTACTTTTCTTACAAGATAACAAGTCACGAGATAAATGGCTGCTTCTGCTTCTGTATAAAATGCTTGCTCGCTCAAGCTGAGGCATCTGCAGGACGTCTGTTACAAAAGCTAAGCTCTGCCTGCATGTAGGCAGGATATGTGTTAACTCGACCCCAAAACTGTAACCTTGTGGTTTTTGCCTTTATAAACCCTACATTAACAACTGCTGGGGGCACACTTTGAGAGTCTGGAATCTTGGGTGTAACCCTGGCCAGTGACTAATAAAGCCTCTCTGCTAAAATTCATTCGTTGTCAGACTTGTGAGTCTCTGAATGACCCCAGACCCATAGCAGCAGCAGCAGCTGCTGCAGCCACCACCACTGCAGCAACTGCAGTCACCACCACTGCAGCAGCCACAGTGATCACCACCACAGCAGCAGCCACAGCCACCACCACCGCAACAGCCGCAGTTACCACCACCGCAGCAGCCGCAGTCACCACCACTGCAGCAGCCGCAGTCATCACCGCCGGAGCTTCCGCAGATCTCCTGGGAGCTTGTTAAAGGCTCAGCTCCCGTGGCCATAGTGAACTATCAAGGGGGTTGAAGGGTGACTATGAAAATACATCTCACTCCCAATCAGCTTCATGACCACAGGCATCTGCTGGCCACCCCCTTTTGCTTCTCTCGGGGTCAGGAGCTGGTTTCTTGGTAACCAAACCTATTCCTCCCATGTCTCCCTACTGAGATGGCATTGCAAGGTTGATCTATTAGTACTGCCTCGGCCTCACCACAGTCACCTGCGCTGAGGGGCCTATCGGCAGGTCTGGGCCTCCCTTCCTTCCTGCTGGTTCTGGGTAAAGGGCACTGCTTCAGACCAGGCCTAAGACACCAATATTTGTTAAATCTCCCCAGCTGAGTTGTATGACTCACTGTTCTCAGTGTCCTTAGAACTGCGGTTTCTTAGCAGGGCATGGCCACACAAGCAGGCGACTTCATCAGCTGCGAAACTGAGAGAAGAGAATGGGAAATTCAAGGTCTTCCTTAGCTGCCCATTGAGTTTCAGGACAGCTAGGGCTGTCCCGAGAAGCTGAACCAAATCCACAAGGCTGATTGGCACCGCCTAGCCTTCTACCCGTGTGGCCTTGTACACTCCCTAACATGACGTCACTTTCCTGTCAGTGTAACTTCAAGCTTACTTTGCAGTTACATAGTCTCTGGTCAGCAGGCCCGGAGCTAGTGTAAACTTCAGGGTAGCCCACCTTCAGGCTGCACATCTTCCCTCTTCTCTGCCATTGACAAGGAAAGCCTCACCGGCTCCCCGCTGCAATCTCTGCTTTAGCACAGTCTTGCTCGCTGCCAGCCTCGTGCTGCTAAGCTGTCCATAGCCTCCAGTTATTTTTAAAGCTGTCTTGACAAGCACAGGATTTGATTTAATTCACGAAAGTATTGCAAGCACTTCTAGGGACGGAGGAAGGTGAAGCTCTAGAACACGTGGCTCTTGGAAACGGGTTTCTTCACTGAGGATGCTGTTGGGGTTAGTGCCACCAGGCTCATTAAAGGCAATCATAGGCTGAAAAGGCTCAGATACCACTTCAGATGAGCTGGAACCTCTAACTGCTGGGAATGCGGGAACGGAGGCTGGAGAGACTTGTTGGAACACACTCGTTCCCAGATCCAGGATGGGAGACGCCTTTGAAGCTATGTCTATCAGGTTTGATCCTCCCAGGCCCAGAGATAAAGACAAGATGAATGAGATGTTATTAGCATTATTATTTATACTTAGCGGGGTTTAGATCTGGGACCTGCTTTGTGAAGTGCTCCGGGCACTACTGATTTACATGAATTTCATTTCTCCCAGCATCACTTCTGGGCAGAGGATAAAGGCTTTAGGTAGCTCTGGAAATAATCCCATTTCCTTTCATTTAGAGGCTCATTAGGCCGGGTCTAATGGGAACATACATCCCTTTAGAGTGTGGTCTTTATGGGAAATTATGTCTTTTACAGACACTTGTGTGAGTCAGTGACTTGGGACAGCGGGCTTTGAAGGATCTCTCTGTTCTTTTCCATTGAAAGTCTGTCTGTGGCAGAGCACAACCACCTTCAGCGTGAGTCAGAATCAGCGTGGAGACGATGGCTGGAGTCTCACAGAGTGGTTGGTAATGAAGTCTCAGGGTCACCAGCGCTGGCGGATTACCCCGTGGGAACAGTAGTTGTACAATGGAGTGGCCCTCACGGTCCCCTGGAGGGCATGTTGAGCCCACAACTGCTGCACCCGGTGTTGGGTCTCTTACTTGGTGTCTAGGAAGGAGAATTTGCATTTTCTCTTGTTTCTACATGACAGTAGGGTCCAGAAAATGTTCATCTTTGGGGTGTCATACTTTGAGATCTGCTGAAGTAGTACGCTAAATCTCTAAGATCTAGGATTCTGAAAAACATTGCGAGAGTAAGATTTCCCTTAATCAGCAAATTTCTCTTACTTGTATGCACATTCTCTTCACGACGGTTAGGCTGGGCTGGGCAGTCCGCATTTCTACCAAGTACACTAGAGGGTGCGCCATCTTCAGTCCGGTAACTGACTGGGTGCAGTGCCTTTCATGGTACGGAAGTCACCAGCAATGCATGTACTCATTTGAGTGTACAGCTCTGTGCAAATACCTATGCACGCTGTGTGCAGCCTCAGAAGACTTGGCTGTGTTACCACCACGAGACTCCCCAGGAAACTTACTCCCTATGCATATCCCTTCCCTAGTTTCCACTCCTGCCTAACTAATCCTTGGCAGCCCCCAGTCTGTTCTGCATCTCTGTAATCACGCGATTTCATAAGTGCTACATTGGTGGAATTACGTAGCACGCACACTTTTGTTGTTGGCTTTCTTCATTTTAGCATAAATTTCTTGAGATTAGTCCAAATTCTTTTTTTGAAGAACTTAAATAATTTAACATAATTATATCATTTCATTCCTCTCCTCTTTCCTACCGCTCCCGTGTCTGTCCTCTCCGACCCCGTCCATGACCTCCTCTTTAACCGTTGTTGCTACACGTACATATATAGGTGAACAGTCACGTAAGTACTACCTGTTGAGTCCGTTCAGCGCCGCCTGTACCTCTGTGTGTGGCTCCAGGGCTGACCACTCGGTGCTGGAAACCAGTCAGGGCATTCACCCCTGGGGAAAACTAATTTTCCCTCCCTCAGTAGTTATGACTGCCTAGGCTCTTCATCTCTGTGTAGGCCTCACGAGACTGTCCCCATTTATGACGAGACGCCAATTGCTGATAGAATTGTCCAGGTCTTGTTTGGGCAGCCATGTTGTTGAGATTTCATGGGTTTAACTTCCCTATCGTAGCTGGAAGGCACAATCCCAGAGCAGACTTCCTGGTTCTGTTTCTTGCAATCTTTCTGTCTCCTCTCCTGAGATGTTTCCTGAGCCTTGGATGCAGGAGTTGTACTGTAGATGTATCAACTGGGGATGGACACCCATGGTCAGTAGTTCTCTGTGTTTTGACCAGTTGTGTGTGTGTGTGTGTTGTAATGGTTTTGTCTTAGTTAGGACTTCTATCGTTATGAAGAGACACCATGACCATGTCAACTTTTCTAAAGGAAAACATTTAATTGTGGTGGCCCGCTTACAATTCAGAGGTTTAGTCCATTATCATCATGGCAGGAAGCAAGGCAGAGTTCAGGCTGACATGAAGTTGAGAGCCCTTACATCTGGGATCATAGACAATAGGAAGTGATCTGTCTTACTGGGCATGACTTGAGCGTGTATGAGACCTTGAAGCCCACCTTCACAGTGACACACTTCTTCCAACAAGGCCACACCTGCTCCAACAAGGCCACAGCTCCAAATAGTGCTACTCCTTTTGGGGGCCATTTTCCTTCAAACTACCACAAGTCTCCAACTGCGGCAAAAAGAAACTTCTTTAGTGAAGTGAGCTACACTTACCAGGCTAGGTTGGAGCACAGGGTATCTAGACCAAATTCTATGTGTATCCACGGTTTAGTTTTTCTTCTTGTTGAATATACCAGTGTGTGCTTGCCACTTAATAACTCGTCGTTGTTTTGTATTGTTGTGGAACGGCCAATTAAACCTAAGGCTTTGCACATGTTGGGCAAATGCTCTACCACTGAGCTATATTCTGAGTCCTCTTTTTAGTTTTGAGACAGGGTCTCACTAAATTGCCGGGGCAGGCTTTGAGCCACTTTGACTCAAATAGCTATCTTCCTATTTCAGACTCTCAGATGTCACTAAGCTCAGTGACCATTACTTTTTGAAGAACATTTGTGACATTTTTAGTTTTGAAATGTCACAACCCAAACTGCCGCAAACATTTATAGAAACAGGTGTTCTGTCGTTTGGAATATGTCTGACAGTAGATTGTTCAGGTTTTAGCTTTGCTTTTGTTTCTATTTATTGTTTTTTTCCTCAGATACTTATTTTAAGGTTTTTTTTTTCTGCTGATTACAGTGAAGTTTCATGTCAACAAGCTTTTTCCTTTTCACATTTCTAACAATTTGCTTAAGGAAAGAAACAAAAGCTCAAACCCACAAGAAATAAACATGCAAGAGCTTCAAAGCAAAAGGATTTGGTAACAGACATCTCCATCGTCAGGGTGTTAGCTATTTCTGTTGCAGTGATAAAACACCATGACCAAGGCACCTCAGAGCAGAAAGTGTTTAATTGGCTGATGGTTCCAGAGGGTCAGAGTCCATGATAGTGAATCAAAGGCATGGCAGCAGGAACAGCCAAGAGCGTACATCTTTGTCCCCAAACAGGGAGGAGTGTGCACACTGGGAATGGCATGGATCTTCTGAAACTGCAAAGCCCAGTCCAGTGACACATCTTTCTAACAAGGCCACACCCCCTAGTCCTTCCAGCAGTTCCACCAACTGGGGGCCAGTCATTCAACTACATGAGCCCATGGAGGCCATTCTCATTCAAACCACCACAGTCAGTAACTGTCAAAAAATATGAAATTATCCAGACTATTCTAATGCTCAGCACACATCAGCGTCATACATCACACTGCTAATGCCAGCCCAAGTTGCAAACTAAAGAAGTTACCCCTTGTATTTCTGAGCACACCTACCACCTAATTTGCTCAAGGTTTGCTCAAAGCAACTTCCAGCTTTCACAAGAAGGAATGTGTGACAAACTCAAAAGGGCCGTCTGCTTTGTTTCGGCACAGCTGTGCTCTGGAGTCTACACGGTTCCTAAGAAACCACCAAGGACTCAGCCAGCCAGAGGCAGTACACAGCAGCGTCCTTGGCCACCTGGGGGTAGCCTTGGTGATCGTGTGGCAGGTCTGTGTAAGTGAGGGCTGTGCTCCACTGCTACAGGAAGTAGACAACATGTGAGTTGACCACCAGGTAAATTTGGGAGCTCTTCCCATTTGACCTACGGGGTCACACTTTCTATTTCCTGTGAATGCCAACTAGGAGAAGGCAGTTGGGTATCCTGATGGAACCTCCATGGCAACAAAATGCTGTTTAAGAACGGTGTCATCTTATGTAAGTGAGAAAGGTCTGTCAGAGACCGAGAGACAGCAACAAGGAGTCAAGAGTTTGCTGTGTTTGGTGTCTAGGTTCTGTGTCTGGGGGACAATCTGAGTAATTTGGTCATGTCAACTGCACAGATCTTTAAAACTATTTCCAGCTACTTTCGGAATTTCTGGGATAATGACCCTCACACACAATCACTTCAAGTATTTTTGGTTATATGTGACCAAATATTTCTTGTAACCCTATGTGCCATTCTTTATGGAATACAAATTAATAAATACTTGATCAGCTTTGGGTGTTGGAACTCTGAAGTCTCTAGAACAGAGAATGAAGAGTTATTTCCTGTGTTGATTGGCTGATTCAGGAGGCACACACTCTTTTAGACTATGGAGAAGATAAAACCTATCAGCTTCAGGAAGATTCCCAGTAGCCCAGGAATTCTGTCAGCAATATCACTTTTTTTTTTAAGTGTTTGAACTGTGCTCTAAAAATGCTTAGAGTTGTCCCAGTAAAGAGGGGGGGGGGTCTCGCCTTTTCTTCCCAGAGCACTGGGGGCAGGATGTAAGAAAGGATGTGAGAAAATACGGCCACGTACAGAGACCGGATGTCATGTCTGCATGTTTCCAGAAATAAAGACATCGCCTGGGAGGTATGCGAGATAAATTCTTTCATGGCATTGTGTAATGTTCATGGAAAGATAGAAGCAGAGCCTTCCCAAGATTTGCAGCAGCAGCAGCAGCAGCAGCAGCAGCAGCAGCAGCAGCAGCAGCAGCAGCGTTAGCTTCGCAGATTATTCTTATAGACAGTATATTGATTTACGCATGTAGTGATCGACCGGTGTTTGCTTGGGTCCTTCCAGCCAACAGCGCCTGTGTGAGCTGAGATGTGAGAGCAGAGGTTCAGAGGGGTGCAGGCTTCTTATTGGAGGCAGAAGCTTCTTGAGATAGCTTTCATGACATCTGTTTCCGACAACCCAGGGAGTGTGAGAGCATCATACAGCGCTATTAATAGAATCTTGACAAATGTGTTATCTCTGCAGTTGTAAAGGCTGCATTGTTTAGCCCTCTTATGGTGAATAGCCTTTTGAAAGCATTGCTGTGTAAGCTTGAGCAACCACACTCTAAGCCTGAAGTTGGCTTACCTGATAAGTACCTGTCCTGCAGGCACGAGGACCTGATCCTAGAACCCTAGCAATCACACAGGATGCTGGGGCATCCTATGACTTCAGTCAGTGGGGGGAGGGGGTGGAGATAGGCAATCGCTGGAGCTCATTGGCCAGCCAGCTTAGTGGAATTTATGACCTTCAGGTTCAGCAAGAGACCTTGTTCTGAATGGAAAATGATCTATAACAGCTGTACTTTGGTTTGCAATGGATAAGTTTATTAAATGTATAGTAGGCAAAAATCAAAGCACAAACAGCAAGTGGCAGACAGTAAACCGTCATCGTCATATCAGGGGCTTATGATGATGGAGTACTTACAGCATCTAGTAGAAATGGCTAGGGAAGCATTGCTAAGCAACCATGCCAGACATCACGGCGGATGGTGGGTCCTGAGCAGACCCGGAGTCTCTCCGAATGAGCAGCAGGCCATAAGGTCTTGACATGGGACATTTTATACCATGAGATAAACGGTAACCTCTATGGAAATGGCTCACCTTCTAGCTGCTCTCAAGGGCACGTGTTTCTCTCCTATCTCCTATCTCCTTGTTACAGAGCCAGGGGCTGGGGTGCCCCAGGACAAGGAGTCCTTGAGGACACTTGGAAGAAACGTGGCTGCTTGTTCTCAGAGCCAGCTCTCAGGAAGCACAGATGGCACATGACACTTTACAGATATAATTCATATGACAGACCTTGTCTCAAAAGCTACAATGGAGAGCAATGGGGAGAAGATGCTCAGCTTTGGCCTGTCCTCCACACAAATGCACACACACACACACACACACACACACACACACATGCACACCACTATATTAAAAGGAAGTAGAAAATAGGTGAAAATGAACCAAATAAAATTTGCAAAGCTCACCAGAGATCCATTAAGGTTCACACAGTGTGTTTTATGCTGAGCAGCCCAGAGAACAGTCGGAAGCAGCATGGTGGTGCTATTTGCATTTCTGGCCCAGAAGAGTTATCTCTTTGTTAACAGAAATGGTGACTCGCTTTCAGAATGGAGATTTCCATGACATCAACAGACTCCTTCATATATCACATTCATTACTGCTTGTGACTAATCTATTTTGTCAAATGGCCAGGAAATAGACGAACCTGTGCTCAGCATTGCCATCAGGGCACATGGAGTAGAATAATTAATATCGTGGAAATGGCCTGACTCCCCAAAGCAATCTAAAGATTAATGCAATCCTCAAAATGTCTTCACAAAAATAGAACAAATAATCTTAAAGTTCATACAGATGAGAGGGCCAGTAAATATCATGACAGGCCCCTAAGAAACTCAGTTAAGGACTAGGCCTCAGTTCCTGCCTCTAGAAACTAAACAAGACAGTTTCTGAGGAAGACGGGAACAAAGGGCACCCAGTTGCTAAGGCAATGAGGACAGGAAGAACTTCGGGTACTGTCTGGGCCAATCCCCCCATTGCCTTAAGGCAACAACCAAATAAGGACAAAGTCTGGGACCTGTTCAGGCTCGCCCAAGAATGTAAAAGCTATAGCCTTAGCCAACCTCTGTTAGCCCTAACCAATTAGAAACCTACTAATATGATTGCCACTTGCATAAGCCAATCCAAGATAGGATGCTCATACTGCTTTTAGAATTCCTTTATTTGTATAAAAGAGCCTGCAAGATTCTCCCTGGGGGTTGCCCCTCACCATCTTTGCCTTTGTGTTAGATGTGCAACCCCAGCATGTTGGTGCTTCTATTCTTGGGATAATAAACGCTCTTGCTGATTGCATACATGGATGGCTGTCTTTTATGGGACTTCTCCAGGATCCTAACAACAGAAGCACCAAAGACCCCAGGTAGACAAAGTAATGTTGGGCAAAGAGAACAATGTTGGAATCACCACTGTAAGATTCTGTGTGAGTGACCCTGGCAGGAGGTCCCATTGCACGTGGGGGAACGTGGGCAGAAAACAGAATATGCCATGCAAAGAGAGCTTGCCTGTGGAGTTTATTTAAGAAGAGGGGTAAGATGGGAAAGATGGAGACAGAGAGAGAGAGAGAGAGAGAGAGAGAGAGAGAGAGAGAGAGAACAGGCAGAGAGCCACCTGCCTCTTCAGAATAATGTTGGGGGCAGGTGTGGGGGGGGGGGGGAAGGAGACTGGGAGAGGGGGGAGCTTGTCTCTTAAAGGAACCTTTGCAACTGTGTAGTGATGTAGCAACCCTAGGCCCCTGGGCTGGCTAGGGTTCTGCCTGGGTTCATCCTGCCAGGTGGCAGGGCAGGCCAGCACAATGCTAACAACCACCATACCTGATATCAGGTTAGACTGCAGAGCCACATTTTTGTGTCACATGGAGCACCTCAGGGCAGGGCACAACCTGAACACAACAGCTACACACTGCCCAGCTCTCCCACTCCATGTCAATAGAGCCCAGAAATATTTGTTCACTGTAGTGCTGTTCACAATTCCTAGGTTATGAAGCTAACCTAGGTGCTCAGCAACAGAGGGCTGGACAAGAAAAATTTGATACACACACACACACACACACACACACACACAAATGAAACGTCTTCAGTCATAATGGACCTTTGCCTTTTGCAATCAAATACATGAAAATAATCATATTTTCTCTTGTCTGTGGTTCCTGCGTTTCATACAGATATATAAAATTATGGATGTATAACTGACATGAACACACAAGTGAATTCTAGAGGAGAAAGGGGACTAACAGGAGAAAGTGGAAGGTAAACGGATGTGGGGCTTCTCAATGTGCAGTGTACATAAAAAGATTTACAGTGGTGCGACCCTGGCAGGTTCCATGGAGGGTGGGACAGACAGGTACGCTGTGCAGAGAGAGCTTGGGTATGGGGTTTATGTAATGAGTAAGTGGGTTATGGAGTGAAGAGACAAGTAGATTGATAGGTATGTAGGTAGATAGATAGATAGGTGGATAGATAGATAGATAGACAGACAGACAGACAGACAGACAGATAGACAGACAGACAGAGGAGAGAAGGGGGAGGGAGGGAGGCAGCGGTTGGGTATTCAGAAGAGGGAGGAACAGAGAGAGAAAGCAGGGGAGGAGAGAAGGCAGGAGATCAGCTTGTCTTGGCTGAAAGTGGGGGAGATTGGGAGTGGATGGAGCTTGTCTCTTAAAGGGACAGGGTACCCAGGTGACAGGGAAGGTCAGCAGAATGCTGACATTTCCATCTTTCTCTTATAATAAAAAAGCATGGAGTTAAGCAAGACAGGTTGAGGGGATGGAGATGCTGGGTTCTCAAGACTGCTTCCTGTTTATTTGTGGTTGTCAGAGTCTTGGGGGGTCTAAGAAAGCTGGGTGCTGGTCACATCCTGAAGTATCTGGGTGCTTCACTCCTGTCCAGGATTTGTGGTGTGTAACTGTCTGGTGTTTCTTGGACTTCGCAAGGTGTTGGCAGAACAGAGGACAAGGTTAAGTTTAGGAAGAAAAAATTCTTTAGGTTCTGGTAATTGAGGAGGAGGATGTCAGGACCAGGGAATTGAGAGAGGGTTGTATCTGACCTGTTGAAGGTGAATCCTTCAATTTGGCTCCCTGGAGCTGACAGGAATTCTTTGAGTTCGTAAAGCCTAAGTTTTAGACACATACTTTGTATAAACAGAAGCATGTTTATGCCAGGATGACTGTGACAGATGTTTTTGCACAATGAAAAGTATCTTTAGAAAACGACCAAATGGAATTTAAAATCTTGGTCTCACAGTGGTGGTGGTAGTACTCTGCCAGAGTTAGATTAATCGCTTATCAGCATTTTATTGATAATGTTAAGACTATGAAAGGCAACATGAGAGAGAAATTTGATAATTTGCATTTGTCCTCAGACCTTTATAATTTCCAGGTAATATTTTGCATTTGT